ATGCAGTCGGATCCAGCCTCAGTGCTCTTCTCCTCTCTAGCAGATCCTTGGTGGCTTTCGAAATTCGTTCGTTCCTTGTGCGAGGCATTGAGGCACTTCCACCACAAGCTCCTAGTCGTCTGAGAAGCAGGTGGTAGTCTTTCGTCGGGTCCTCCTCGATGGGCTAGTCACAAGTGGTCAGGAGCTCCTCCAATCTGAAATGGTCATATACGACTTCTCTCCTTCCTCCAACACGGGGCGGATCTTCTTTTCCAGCTTTCAACTGAATCGCACTTTTGCTCGAAGGAAGCGGTGATCTGAGCCACCACTGAAGGATGGTAGCGCTGAGATGTGCAGTAAGCACCACCTTCGGTTGGTGAGAATGTGGTTGATCTCCGCATGAGTCATACCGTTAGGTGACTCCCATGTCCACCGCTAGTGTTTTTTCTTCATGAAGATGGATTTGCCACAAAAAGGTCATGCGGCGGAAAAGGGCCCAACAAGACGGTTACCATTTTCATGATTCAAATCTCCCGACCCTGTGCTCCCCTTCTTCTGGCATCCATTTTCTCGTTGAAGTCACTAACGACGAACTTACAGAAGGAGTTTTCGTTGCGGGACTTCCTCCAAATCGTCATAAAACGCATCAAGTTCCGAATCATCAGCTGCTGATGTTGGAGAATAGCAGTTGATGATAGTGATGGTCTTCTGATGCAGAGGACGGAGTCGAAGGATAGCCAGGCGAGGCGATAGGATCTCATGCGAATCGACAAGATGGACAACAGATGGGTGTACGACAATGCAACGCCTCCAGCGTTCGACAAGATGGACAACAGATGGGTGTACGACAATGCAACGCCTCCAGCGTTCCATGATGGAACCTTTTTACCACGAATGATGAATGTGCCATCACTCAGCTGCCTTACGTCCGTCTTCCTGGACGTTATGTCCTGCAAAGCGATGACATGGTAGTTGATGCGCCTTGCAGCTTCGAGAAGAGCGTGAAGATCGGCGTTGGTGGAGACTGTCCTGGCTTTGTAGGTGCATAGCATGAGACAATCTCCATGGCGAGTCGTTGACGTGTCCTTCTGGCCCAAAATCTATGGCGTCTTGTGCAACCTGACACTGGTCTTGATGACATCCGACGTCGTCTCTTATATGCGGTAGGGGCAATAAAGGACTTCTCCCCAAACATTAGTAGAGCCTTGCCAGGGCTCTGCCAAGCTTTCACAACAGGCAGTCGCTGACCTTATGTGAATGAGCCATCTAGCGACTGAATCAGCCAGATGGTGGTGCTTCTGGCATGGCCTACTCTTAGCTAGGATCCGGGGAATCGGAAACGTCGACCTCCTTCTCAACTTGGGAGACTCTGCTAGAAGACAAACCTCCGCTCTTCGCATTTCGAACCCAGAGTCACCCCAGCCACATGAGGCGGTAGACCATCACGAAGGGTAGAACGCTTTAGAGGAAGAAAATGGCGAAAGGTGCGGCGTGTACTTATGCGAAAACCTAATAGTTCTTACCTTTAGAGCTTAGAAAATAACTCATTACTCAAAGGAATTGATTCCGAAAGTAAGTGTTTCGAGTACTAAAGACAAAGACTTCGTTAAATTTGAGAAGGCGCACTCCGGTGCCAATCTTGAGAAGTTTCGCTTAGGTATGCCCATCACACGCTATCAGGTCTCATAAATGTAAAAAAGTGAACACCAAATAAGAATATTTGACACTCTCTAGAAAACAACTTCTCGCACTTTGAAAAATCTACTTTGATGTGGACTTAAACATGAATATTTCTTCCGCTTTCATTTACTTACGAATTCCCCTCTTTGGGACGATCTCTGGTGAAGTCATTGCTAAAGAAATC